CCACTCAGTTTATTTATATCACAGGTGTTGATACAAGGTCACTTTACACTGAGAGATTTAAAGAGATGTAGATCACTAGTGTAAATAAATGTAAGTTCTGTTTATGCTTATGTTTCTGTATTAACGATGACATCCAAAACGTTTTGAAATGAATAAAATACGTTTCTTCGAAAATGTTTTAATAACGTATTTATCATGTTTTTCTGGGAACAAATTCCGCAACATTTTTATTAAAAGAAGTACTCTGATTTTTATAAAGCATAAACAAAATCGGTCTTTTCTGGCCGTGAAAATGGGGATGTCACAGTTGGTATCAGAGCATTAGTTTAAGCGAACTAGGAATATGGATTTATTTCTAGACTTAAACTTAGAATGCTAAGCGATGATTGTGAGGTGTGAGCACTAGATTATTTTAGGAATTGTGCCTAAAATGCTTTTATGTGCTAAATACTTGTGCCTGATATGGTGTTAGTTGTTCGGATCTATGGTCTGTTGCCGACCGGATCTGGAAACCTTATGTGTTTAGGATTCTAAACGTTCGACTATGATATTAGAACTAACATATAAACGTTTCGGAGTGATAAGGATGATTTAACCATCAATCCTAAGTAAAGGTCTAGATTCACCTTATTCGGTGTATAGATCAAGATGGCAAGAACCCGTAGCGGAAACGTGAATGCAAATGGGAACCGAAACCAGCCCCCAATGATTGAGCAAATACCAGTTGTGGTAGCCGCTGCTGAGCCAATAACGATGGCCGGAGTGCAAGCAATGATCCAGGTGATGTTGGATCGTCAAATGGAGGAAACCAGATGTTTGCTCCAGCAAAATCAAGAGGAAGCGACTATTCAGATCGAATGGCCCGAGTTGAATGAAGGGCAGACTCAGGAGGAGAACTACAGTGGGACTGTTGGTCAAGTCAACCCACCAATAGTTCGACAAAACAACCATGATGAAGAAGTCGAGAGGAATGGATGCAAGTACAAGGAATTTCTGACTTGCAAGCCATCGACTTTCACTGGAAAGGAGGATCCGATCGGAGTCATGGGTTGGATCTCGGAGATGGAATTAGCTTTCATGACGTGCGGTTACAAGGGAAAATAACAGACCACATTTGCAGTGCGTCAGTTTCGAGGAGGCGCTGTACATTGGTGGAATACCTTGGGGAAGACTCTGAGCCCCAATGAGCCCCTGCAACTAACATGGTCAGAATTTATGGTGCAATTCAAACGTAGGTACTGCTCAGCCCAAAATCTGCTCGAGCTAGAAAACCAATTCCTTACCTTGACGAAAGGAAGCATGTCTGTTGATGAATACACCAGTAACTTCACAGAGAAGATAGAGTTCGACTTACGTCTTGTTCCGGATGAGCTGACGAAAGTTGAAAAGTATGCAAAAGGACTTCCATGGGAGTACGCGGTGCCAGTGCGTCAGGCACCTACCTTGGAGGCAGCTATCTGGGCTGCCAAGTCGGTTGAGGGGATGATCAAGGGAAGAGCCGCCAACAAGACCGAGGTTGGCGAAAAGAGAAAGTTTGAGGGGCCTGCAAAGCCCGATGAGAGAAGCAAGTCCAACACAAGGAATTTTAGAGGAGGAGGGAGTGAAGAAAGATGGTGCGAGAAGTACGAAAAGAAACACTCTGGAAAATGCGGTGAGGAGGTGAGTTGTTTCAAGTGCGGGAAGCATGGGCATTACGCTAATGAGTGTAAATTCAACAAAAGGGTGTGTTACGAATGTAACGAGGAAGGGCACTTCAAGCAATATTACCCAAAGAGAGAAGGGGCTACAAAGCCAAATGTGCCGCCAAAACCAAAGGCAAGAGCATTTCAAATGATCCTTGACGAAGCAGGTTACGATGCAAGGAATCAGGAGTAAGGATGGATATATAGAGATCGAGTTATGAAGAAGCCATATAGATAGTGTCACATGATGTAGCCTATTAGAGGCATAATCTAGGGTAAAATTGAACACCCATGTAATCGTTTCAAGTAATAAAATAAAACCTTCGTTTTGTTATCTAATGTGTTAAATGATTGTGTGATTTGCTGCTTGGTGACTTGGGAAACTGCGGGACAATACTTGGGACGAGAATGAGTAGGTGTGAATGGTAGTAGAGGCCTAAACTACCGGAGGCACAGGACTCACACTTGGATCATGGAAAGTCACAAGTATACCGTTACCATTGTTTCGGTAATGACTAAGAAGATTGTTGTTATCCCGACCCTAGTGGTCATATCACATTGAGTCCGACTACGATGAGTAGGTTACGTGGTTCAGAGAACCAAGTTTGATATAGCGTCCGACTTAAACCAAACGATTAAAATCAAAGCGATCAATAGAAGTATCGCGCTCGTTGGTAGCTAGAAATGCTACATGTTAAAGTATGACATTAGAACATGAAGGAAGGCTTAGTCTGTTTTAGAATTTAACTCTAAAATACCTGAGTCTAAACGTGTATCACATGATGATAGGTCATAATTTGGAGTCTAACCTGAGGTAGAGAGCAGGTGCACGATCAAGTACTGCTTACAGTCAATAAGTCTAAGAGATAGACTTGAAGGAATAAAGAAGTTATAATTATTACCTAGGATGAAGAGATGACGTATGGGGTCGTTATACGAGCCTTGTTTCGTTGATGATTCCAGGACGTAATCATCCTAAGGGGGAGATAATTGTAACGCCCACAAATCCGGGCTAGTCAATTTAGAGGCAATAGGGGTCGAAAATGAATTTTCGAAAAAAGATTATTTAGAATAAATAATCTTAACCAAGTTGTAGAATATGTCACAAGGTTTCCGTACATATAAAGAACGCCGAAATCCGAGTTATAACGAAGAAGTTATGACCCGTCGAAGTTTCGCGACGGAATTGACACGGCACCGGGAAGCGTAAATAGTGAATTTACAATGGAGGACTTTTAGCCTTAGTGATATAAATGAAATTCGTAGAATATGTTAAACTAAGAGCGTCGATAAAAAGAACGCCCAAATCTGACTTCGTATGAGGAAGTTATGATTTTTCTAAGATTCGGCTTAGTAGTGTACAACCCGAAACTCGAATTTTAGTTCGAGCGGTTTTTGGCTTACGCGAACTAAATGAGAGTTGAATATCTCATTAATAGGAACTCAACGGTAAAAAGACAGACGAAAACGAAATCCGTATGAAGGAGTTATGAGTTCTTCACGGTCATTTAACAGTCTAAACGCCTCCTACTGTTAAATTTGAAATCGGTCGAGAATTAGCTGATAAAGTCTAAACGAAAGTTGTAGATATTGATTTTACCTACGCGTGGATATAAAGAATGTTGAAAAAGGAGCTCGTATGCGAAAGTTATGATTTTTCTAAGTTTGAAGGCTGATGCGCGATAGGGGGTGACGTGGCACCACCAGAATTGGACACGTGGTACCACCAGAAGGGTGCCACATGCACCAACTCGGCGAGTCATGACTCAGACTCGGCGAGTCCATCAGGTTTTTCCACTATAAATAGAGGTACCGGGTTCCATTCATTCTCACACCTTCCAACCCTTCTTTCTTTCTCTAAACTCTCTCTCTAAGCCTCCCTAACCCCCCAAAGCCTAGGGTAACTCCCTAGCACGAGGCGGAAGCCCCAGAGCACCTGATGGCTCCGAGAAAAGAGCCTTTTAGCTCGGGAAACGTTGGTCCAGCGAAGCCTGGTTTTGCGAAAAACCCGCTGTAAGTGAGCTACGCCTACGCTAGTTTTAATATAGCTTCTAATTAATTATAGTAACATTATTAGGACCTTAAAATAATTGTTTGGGCTATTATTATGAGTTATATTGAGTGTTATTTAACGCTTATATAATAATAATAATAATAGCTATACTATTAATTAGTCACGGTTATCGTTAGACTAAACCCTAGTGGTGTTGATACTAGGTTTTATCGAAGGAAAATTGTTTTGAGAGTATCGAAGCGCTGTCCGAGTGTTGATTCACCACCTTTCAAGTGAGTGCATAGTTACTTTCAGCTTACACATATATATGAAGTATTTTATATAAATTACGTGCTATGTGTGCATATTACCTGAATACTTGGTATCTATGCTGGATGAACATTTTTATACATGTTTTCAATGATTTAAATTGTATATGTATTTTATATCTACAAAATATGTTCGGTAAAACATGGGTAGATTAATGATGAAGGATAAAAGTTGAAATAAAGGAATATTAGTAGCATGGACCTAGTGCCCTATAGATATACATTGGCAGCAGTGGACCTAGTACCCTATAGATGAGCACTGGCAGCTGCGCCACAACCCGTAGATGTTTCAGATCTATGGTAAACATCCTAGCAGCTGCGCTCTAAGGACAGTATCGGCAGCTGCGCCTAATAGGGAGCCTTATGACCATGACAGTAGCATTTAAAGGTCAATACCGGCAGAAGCGCCTCATAGTAAATGTTCCAATTCTGGCAGCTGCGCCTAAGTGACAAGATTAGCAGCTGCGCTTGACCAATGTGTCATTGGCAACAATGGACATCATGTTGTTTCCTTAGGATGATCCTTAGGAATGAATGAACAAGAAATAGCTGATTCTTAGTTTAGATCCTTAAGAATAAAGAAGATAATAGGGATGGGTAATTGGGTTAACTGTTTGATGATTAAACATAATAATTATATTATTGTGGGTTGAAAACCCTATGTACTCACCAGGTTTCCCAACCTGACCCACTCAGTTTATTTATATCACAGGTGTTGATACAAGGTCACTTTACACTGAGAGATTTAAAGAGATGTAGATCACTAGTGTAAATAAATGTAAGTTCTGTTTATGCTTATGTTTTTGTATTAACGATGACATCCAAAACGTTTTGAAATGAATAAAATACGTTTCTTCGAAAATGTTTTAATAACGTATTTATCATGTTTTTCTGGGAACAAATTCCGAAGCATTTTTATTAAAAGAAGTACTCTGATTTTTATAAAGCATAAACAAAATCGGTCTTTTCTGGCCGTGAAAATGGGGATGTCATAGAATGTCCAACAGAATCAGTTGAGGTCCACATGCCTATGGAACCATGTATAAAAGGATCCTTCTTCCCCGTAAGGAGGACTCTCTTTCCAGTGAATATTTTTTCTCTTCTCTGAGAACAAACACTAACTAGATCGTTGGAGCTTCGTACCGGAATCCCTACGAACGACGACTAATGATTTACTTTCCGTTTTTGTATTGTGATATCAGGTGATGGGATTTACACTAAACTCACCGACAATCTCAACACTACCATATCCAACATATCACACCATCTGGCTCCATCGGGGCATATCTCTAGAACGATACACGCACGAAACAAATGCACAGAGCAACAATGGCAGGTGAAATCCCAATAGTGTCTGGGATACTAGAGAAAAGTCCGATGTGTCCAATGAAGTTACTAGAGGGAGGACAACCTACTGTTTAGGAAGAACACACATCAAACCTCACACCAGTTTCACAAACGCTACCGAGCTTCACAACAGTGACGACAACAACCCCCGTGGCCAATCTATGGTGCCTTGCAACCGAACCAATCCCACAAGTTGTAATCGTAACTACAACTTCGCAAATCGTTGCAAGACAACCAATAGGGATCCTTATCCCACAACAACAGTCTTTCCCGCACACCTCCGACACTAGGACTTGGATCCTCTACACCATCCAACCACCAGCATAAATTTCTTCCACAGTCTATCCACACACCACCATGACATGCTTGCCGCATATGCCGTTCTACGTACAACAACAACCGATATTCAACTCATCTATGCAATAGATCCCAGGTTTCATCCATAGACCAACTCAACCGCCAGTTGCAAGCATGCAGATCCTGGTGGGTCAAGGATCCAATTCATCTGGATTTGGCGTTCAGTTCCTAGTTTAATTCGAAGTCAATCCCCTCATAGCAGTCGCTCATCCGTTCAACCCGAATGCACAACAATACGCGGGAGCGCACTCATATATGCTTCTCTAATAGGGCAACACGACATCCAGTAATTCGGGCCGATACCAGACATGCCTCTGTATCGGCCATATATCTCGCCAGCGACTATGCATAGCCAGATATATGCAAGCCCATACCAAACACAACAACACATGGCTTACAGCGGGATGTTATCCTCATACATGGACAATCCCATGCGAAGCGCCAGTTCTAATTTCAGTCACGAGCTACTGCAGTACGAGATTTTGCACATGAGTATGATCCCACACATGCCCAACTATTATGGTACTACAGATCCAGATGACCACATTGACAATTATGAATGGAAAATGACTTCCCTCAAGATGGATCATCGCTTTACTTGCACTTATTTTCCTTGCACCCTCACTAGCAATGCTGGAAAGTGGTTCAAATCTCTGAGGCCAGGCAACATCTCCAGCTTTGACCAACTGAAATACCTTTTCCTTAATTTCATGCAGTTGAGGAAAGGTAAGGGGGATGCTAACTCTGTAATGACATGTAAGCAGAAAAATGGGGAATCAATCAGTGAATATTATGACCGGTTCACGCCGGCGACATTGAATGTTCCATAACATGAAGAGTTCCTGGTAACGGGTGCTTACACCTAAGGTTTACTCCCAGGGCCCCTATCGAAGAAGATACAGGGAACCGTTCCTATATTTGACATATTGATGAGGTGGAAGTGCATTGATTCTAAGTTTCCTATACTACAAAAGATTGCAAACGATGTCTTAGCCATTCCAATTTCTATGGTCTACGGTTACAGAATTAATTTTTATCTAGAGCGGGAATAAGGTAACGAAACAACATAGACGACTTAAACGAGACAAAGTCGAGGCATTAATATGTAGCTAAAGTTTGTTACAAAAAGAATTTGAAGGTATATTTTTAATAAATACGCCAATTGTTATATCATACATCTGTATAAATATTATTTTTTCGAACTATAAGATTTATATGTTTCAAGTAAAAAGCAAGAAAAACTAAATGATTTTGATAAGATGGTTGCATATGATGATGAAGTTGAGTAAATTTTCATATTAAACACAAGAAACAAAGAGAACCAAAGACTTGAAATTCTCTTTTGAGTAATTATGTTTTCATTTTGATGCTTGTTAAATTTTATGATTTGATGTAAACATAATCTGATTATGAGCTCTGGTTTTGATGACTTGCTAAACTTGAAATTATTTTTTTGTGTAAGTTAAATTTATTATGTTGATAGATCGGAGACGAGCCGAAGATAAGCCCAAAATCTAAAGGGTAGAGGATTCGATTCCCCACATCGAGATGGGATGGGAACGAGGTTTAGGACTTGAGGACAGGGACATGGATGGTCTGCCCCTTCCCATCCCCACCCATTTCCATCCCTATTTTTATAGTACATTATTGTATGTGTTATAGCACGATAAGATTCGTCTTATTGGTCTCATGTTTATTTTAGTAATTTGAATATGTACTAGTAATGGATTAATGATGCGGGGATATATACAGTAAAGTCCCAATATTTTTATCGATTTGACAAAAAAAGTCTTAAACTTTATTTTTTTGACAGAAAAGTCCAAATTACCGGCAGTTTTTGACGCTTTTACCTTTTTTCCCGGTTAGCCGGTAATTAGGATTTTTTTGTCAATAAAATAAAGTTTATGACTTTCTTGTCAAATCGTCAATTAGGACTTTACTGTAAAAAAATAAAGTTTATGACTTTTTTTGTCAAATCGTTGAAAATGTTGGGACTTTAGTGTATATATAATTTTTTTGTTAGAAATTTAATGGTATGATACTCTTTAAGCATAAGAGTTATTGAAACATTCTCTAATCAGCTAGATTCTATTGAAATCATTTACGTTTGCTTCTTGTTAAATCTTTTTTCTAATATCAACAAACCGACGTTGAAAAAAATTGAGATAATCAAGAAAGAAAGTACCAGAGTTGTGTTAACTTTTTGCCGTCTCAAAAATGGAGAAATTAGAAACCTAAAAAAATGAAATTGCCCTGGCTTTATACAAACACAAACAACACATGCTTAACAAAAGGGTGTAAATGTGGAGAAGGGAAAGAAGGGCAATTTTTTTTTCGGTTTCTTATTTCTCTATTTTTGGACTGCAAAAAGCCAACACAACCCTGGTTCTTTCTTTCTTTCTTTCTTGATTTAACTTAATTTTTTCAATGTCGGTTTGTTGAGATTAAAAAAACGATTTAAAAAAAAACAAACGTTAAGGATTTCAATAGGAACTAGCAGATTAGTGAATGTTTCAATAACTCTTATGCTTAAAGTGTATCATACCATTAAATTTCTAACCAAAAAAATTATATATATATATATATATACACACACACACACACACACACTAAAGTCCCAATATTTTCAACGATTTGACAAAAAAGTCATAAACTTTATTTTTTTGACAGTAAAGTCCTAATTGACGATTTGATAAGAAAGTCCTAAACTTTATTTTTTTGACAAAAAAGTCTTAATTACCAGCTAACTGGGAAAAAAGGGTAAAAGTGTCAAAAACTGCTGGTAATTTGGACTTTACTGTCAAAAAAATAAAGTTTAGGACTTTCTTGTCAAATCGATGAAAATATTGGGACTTTACCGTGTATATATATATATATATATATATATATATATATATATATATATATATATATATATATATATATAGTAGTTGTAATTTATAAACCTAACAAAACTTAAATAGCTAAAAAGTACTTAGAGAGTGTACCTAGTCAAAGTATAGAAGTGTAAAGTAAGTCGGGTGTCGTACACATGGAATGAAATTCTAGCTAGAAAATAACTACTATTAATTAAACTAAAGAAAACAACTTAAAGTGGAGGTTTTTACTGATTTTGCAAAACCAACAACTTAAATTTAATATAAAGATAAAATTAACTATGGATAATGGAAAATGATTTTAAATCAATAATAAAGAGTACTTTCGTTCAGTTCCGAATCCTCCTTTTCCTATGGTTGATTTCTAATAGAATAAAATATATTGGTTACCAAATTATTAACTAGTTATCATGTTTAGAATCCTAGTTTTTATCAATTCATGAACTATCATGTAATGATCAAACACAAGTTGGACAAAAAATTTAATATAAAGATAAAATTGACTATGGATAATAGATCTATGAGTTACCTATCTGAGATTAAGACAAGTAATTCAAACACAAATTATGGATTAATTATGCTCTCTAACACAATCAAAGTTGCTAACTTATTTTTACCTAACTCTAGGATTTGTTCAATCACTAGATCTAGCAATATAATGTTTATACCAAACACTAGTTAAACCAACATAAAATATCCATAAATTCAAAATCAACACATAGTTAAAGGGTTCATCATCACCAAACGAAAGTATAGGGTTTTAGCCCTTGGTTAAAGCAAAAACAAACATGTAATCAAATTTAACTAGATTAGCTATAGTAAAACGAGCAAATCGAGTGATCTAATGATGTTTTTTTCTCTAAAAATATTTAAAGCTTGATCTCCAATTGAATTTAGACCTTCCAAGGACTCTTCAGAAGGCTTTTGTCGCAGTCTATCGCAACTCTCTCTGCCAGAAGTCCCTCAATTCCGACCTAATGATCGGTTTATATAGTTTCCTAAAATTGGTTGCCACGTTGTGACAATATGAGTGTCACGATGTGAGAAACATAGTAATACTGTATGCACCAAGGAATCTGTGCATGTCTGTAAAAGATTCTTTTGTTAACATGTGGTCATGTCGTGACCAAGAGATGGACACGTCGTGAGAAAGGTTCATGCATGAATTAAGAAGTTTCCAAATGCCACACCATGGGAAGTAATTTTCCATGTCGTGAGAACTTCAATATGCTTGATCTCTTCTATCTTCTTCTCCTAATTTAAGCTCCAATCCTCAAAGTGTCCAACTTTCTACAATTTCGGTCATTTTTCCTTGAGAATGTCCTTTTTTTTCCTGCAATATAGAATTTAATATTATAAGTACCAAATATCTTTTCATGTTACCAAATTAAGGCTCAAATGTATTAAAATAATACATAAATATATGTATAAATATGACATTATCAATTAACGAAATATAATGTCGAAGTACTTATAATTTGAAATATGCAATGAATTGATCATTCAAAATAAAAAAAAAAGTATGTTTACATCGTATATGAGACATGTGACTAAGAATAATGTTGTCGGATGTTAAATTTGAATGTGATGGATTGATGTACAATTTGGATTTGTGATGGATTGACGTACAATTTGGATTTTTCCTTTAGTTTTGTTAAAACTTACATTTCATAAATATACTAGCAATTTATTGGGTATTGTAGGTACCATTTTAGTATTATATCGTCAATTCTTTTATAAGTATACTCAAAAATTAGTTTTATTATGTTTTTTACAACTTTAAAGTTTTTTTTTACAAAATTTTTAAACCTTTTTATAGTTTTTAAATTGTTACAATAATTTTTACAATTTTTTTAATACTTTTTTTTAAACTAAAAACTAAAAAAATATCATCTCCCAACGTCGTGGCAAGGAAATCGACACGTCGTGGAACCTGATTAAACTGAAAAACAGAAAAATAACTTCTTGTGGATTTGAACCCACAAAAAAGACCGATTAACTTAAAGCAATTAAATTAACAATTAAAATTAGTTGTTCCCAGGCAATTGCACCAAAAACTTGAAGTGCATAGATATACATTTTAAATTTATAACC